CCATTAATTTTAAAACATCAGTGGTCTGGAGTTCTTTGTTTTCATTTGTTCACAAATATTGATTAAGGTTATATACGTTAAACATATTCAGTTTTATGTAATTCATAGTCTAGTATGAGAGTTTTGGAGCAGGAACATAAATCAGTAGACATGATTCGTGAGATACTATTTCGAATTTAGATTAGATTTCTTAGAAAATGTGGAAACAGTTTTTCCTTATGCAAACAAAAAAGTTATTAATTGTTAAATAATGTTGTCAAACTGCAAGTATGAGAATGCTAATTCTTATAAAACTCAGAGACATATTATGAATGCATCACAAAAATTCAAGCATGACAAAAATTCCAGAAGTTCGACAATTTTGTCACAACATTTCATCTCCTATTCACCAGAATGCCTTGAATGATGCTTATGGAAATTTAATATGCTATGAAAAAGAGGTCACCAGGGCATTGGAGATCATCACTTCCCTTGAAGCCATCATCGCATCCCATAGAGTAGACCTTGATAATCCAGAAGAATCACTAGAAATGCCTCTTAGGAAACAAGAGGAATTGGAATCCACAACAGCAGACATCCAGGACCTGACTGAGAAATTGGGAGCTATATCCAGCCCTGAAGCCAAACTACAGCTTCAGTGTACTTTACAGGAAATAGTTTCTAAGAACTCAGCCATGAAGGAAGCTGTCCAAGTACAGAAAGCTAAGGTAGAAAGGTAGGTCTTCTTTCTAAATGTAATGCTTTAAGAACATAAAGTATAGGGGTTTTTTTCTTTATAATTAAAATGTATGCATTAAAGATAATTTGGAAAATATGAAAAAGTAAAAATTACTATTTAAAGACAACCATGGTAGATATTTTATTGTATTTCTTTTCTTTTTTCTTATTTAATATTGACTGCATACAACAGATTGTTTATAAAAGTATGTATATGGTATAAAGAATAACAATAAACATCTTAGTAACCAGAGTTTCAAAGATAAACATGATTAATTCGAATTCTCTTGTGTGCTCCTTCCCTCTCAGAAGTAACCATTATCCTAAATTTTATGTTTATCATTTCCCTGGCTTTTGTTGTATTGTTACTATGTGTTTGTGTGTCTTGTTTTCATGATTTTAAACTAGCCCCTAGTGTGTATTCTTCTCTCATTTCATTTTTTTCAAATTCATCATTATGACCCTGAGGTTTACTCATGTTATTGTCTGTAGTAAAATTCATTTCCCCAGCTATTGATGGACATTAGAATTGTTTCCAGTTTTTGCCTTCAAAAACAGGGCTACTTAGGAACATTTTTGAATGTAATAGCTTCCCTTGGGTATATATCTAGGAGTATGATTGCTGGCTTAAAAGGTACACGTGTCTTAAATTATTAACACCAAATGATTTTGCCAATTTCCACTTAAGCCAGTTGTATATAAGTATTCTAGTTGTCCCATATCCTTGCCAACACTTGATATTGTGAGACTTAATTTTTACCAGTCTGGTGAGTAAGAAGTGATATCTCACAGTGGTTTTAATTTGCATTTCTATTACTGCTAATGAGTTTGATCTCTTTTTTGAATGTTTATTGGTCATTCATATTTCCTCTTCTATAAAATGCTTATTCAAGCCTTTACACAATTTTGTTGGTTGTCTTTTTCTAAATAATTCCAATAAATTGTAGGAATTTATTCTATAGAGATCAGTCCCTTGTAGTTATATGTGTTACAAATAACTTTACAGAGGAGATTTCCTATTAGACACCCATTCTGGGGTTGGCTCCAGACTTTGTGGTCTGTCCCTCACATTCCAGGAGGAAGCAAAGAAAACTGAAACTCAAATGCCCTCAAGGCAAAAACTGACCCTACAGCCTTGCTTATTTCTGTGTATTTCCATTTTACAGAGTTTGAGGCCTCAATTCCTTGCCTGTTTATTTGTATGTCTTA